TCTTGTTCATAGCAAATATACATACTGAAGTATTTAAGAATAAAATTTAATGTCCACAACTTACTTTCTAATGGTTCAGTAAACTATGTGTTTGTGTATGTGTGTATACGCACAAGGTGGGTAAAATGTGAATTGGTGACCCTAGATAAAGGGTATGTAGATGTTCATTGTACTCTTTTTTCAACTCTTTTGTGGCCTTAAATCTTTTAAAATAAAAAGTTGGGAAGAAATCATTCTAAAAGGTGAGATAGAAGTGAAGACAACCATTAGGAGGATGCTGCATGTGAGAGATGAAGTGGTTTGAGCTGGAGTGGTGAGATTATGAGAGGATTTGAAAATCTATTTTGTATGAGCAGCCAGCAGGATTTGCTGATAGATTGGCTTCAGGAGGTAAAGAGTCAATGCGCCTCTCAGGTTTTTGTTCTCAACAAGTGGGAATGCGCCTCTCAGGTTTTTGTTCTCAACAAGATGAATACTGGTGATGTCATTAGCTGAGCTGGAACAAGAGGAAAAAGGCCAGGTTTAAGGGATGGGAAACAGTAATTTTATTTTGAATGTGTTAAGGATGATCATCCAAGTGGAGACTTGACTGGCAGCAGGATAAATGAGTTGGGAATTCAGAGAAGAGGTCTAGCTGGAAATACAAAATTTGGAATTATCAGCATATAGTGGCATGCAAGGCATGGAACTGGATAAAATCTCCTAGGAAACGGTATAGGTAAAGAGGAAGGCCAGGAGTGAGCTGAGAAGTAGAGCGTGGGAAGACGATCATGCAGTTCACCATTTGATTTCTCTTGCTTTGATTCCCTATCAGGTGCTTATTATTTAATTTCCCATGTAGGTCTATGTGTAAAGGAAAAATTGGTCATATGGACTTGGATGTTCCTGGGAGAGTTCTCACTGTAAATAAATTTACCACACTCATAAGCTTGGTTTGAGTCATCCTCTGAGACAGAGCCATTCTCAGCATGATGACAAAATCCGATGGTGAGTCTGCGTAAGGGAGAGCCGGATCCAGGACTGTGGAAATTGCACAAGGAAATGAATGCTACACTGCTTGCTGACACTCTTCCTTTGTTCAAATTTCTTTGCAGCCTGTAAATTGAGAATGTTCTCACATTTCCAGAACTGGTGAGAAAACCCAAAGCTGAGTATACTAAGAGAATATTTCTTCTTTTGATTGCATCCTTCTCTTATTATTCAAGTTCTACTGATTTATGCTGTCTCTCAGGTTTTCTTCCACACTGATCTTGTATTTTGGTGGATCAGGGTCCATTATTACTGTTTGGGGAATATTCTCTGTATGCTTCCTCTAAATCTATTTTAAAAGTTTATTAATTTTTGAATAGTCTAGATCTATTTTAAAAATTTTATTTCATTTTTGAGTAGGTGGTATGCAAATGGTTCAAAAATCCAAGTGACAAGGTATATACTGAGAAATCTCCTTCACATCTTCTCCATGGTTCCCCCCCCCCCCCAAAATTTTTTCCCAAAAAAAATTTCTTTTCATTCTCTTGGTTTGTTATATTCCACCAAGAGTTTAGCTTGTTATCAATCTTTACTGTTACAAAGCTGTAATGAGTAAGCGTGTATGTGGGATGTTCATGAGCTGTAATTTTTGTTTTTTTCTACTGAGCTATGATGATGTGAACATATTCTACTCCTTTTGGGAGGGAATGAGAAGTTTCTCATGAAAATGCAGGCTCAAATTGCATTTCTCTTCCCCTTCCCTTTAATTCTGAAACATGAATATTATGACACTTCCTATATAACATGATTAAGTTACTCCCCTGGCTGAAGCAGTTCAAGAATTTTCAACTATCTGATTCCTATTTTTAAAATAAAAAAGGCTGATGCTGGCTTAATGAGAAAAAATGAGGTTCACAAAGGTTACTGAACAAAATATGTGAGGTAGACTGACATACAACTTCAGAAAAGATTCACAGAAAACTTAGTTGAGATGTTAATGTATATTTGTCTCCTTTTCCAACCCATGGTATAGCAGATTGTATTTTCCAAAGATAGCTGCCTGAATATATCCCATGCCACATGGTATTGTACTGTGACATTGTCTTGACTCATTGGGTGGTGGATCCTGTGTTCTCCTCCCCTGAACCTCACCTGAACTTTGTGACTGCTCAACCAATAGAATATAGTGGAAGTTGTCCAGTTAAGCCCAGTTGACCTCCAAAAATATAATTATGTAGTAATTCTAATCTAGGTTTGGGAGGTATTCATTATGCCAAAGTAGGGACAGAAACATGATCTTGACTTTAAATTGTCTTTACATTATCCTTGGTCTTGGCTCTTTTATGTTTGTTTAGATTTTATTGTAATTTTGACTGTTTCCACTGTAAATAAAATCCTTTGTGGTAGAGGGTATAAGCTTAATGTATTTATACTTTTAAAAGTGCTCTCCAATCTAACCTGCTGACATAAACTCCCTCATGTAATTCTGTAAAAAGGATAGCATAAAAGCTTTATTACTATTTTTTAAGGAATTTCTTCCCAACCTTTTGCCATAGGATGCATGTGTCACCAGAGAGAAAGAGACAGTGAGAAGGAAAGTGAGAAATCACCTGAGGGGATGGCCATGTTGTAATCTCTTCTCCTCCATTCTCTTGAGATTTTGGGCACACATGCACACATGCACACACACACATGCCTGGTATAATTTTCTGGGATTCAAACCAAGATTTTCCGTGTGGGACTCCAGCATCTTAGCCACCATGCTACCTGCTGGCCCTAAGGGATTTTTTTTTTTTTTAATTAAAAAAAAGATTACTTTGTGTAGAACTGTTCTACACTTTGTTTTCTCCCCCAAACAGAACCCTTACCCATGAAAGTCTACAGAAATAACTATAACATAATCCATGGTGACCAGATGAATAATTCATTCAACAAATAGGTCCTCAACAGACACTTAATGAATATCTATTCTGTGTAAATTAGATCAGGTACCAAGTGTACAAAGACGCAGTTCCAGCTTAAAAAGGGGCTCCAAGAACCAGCAGATGGTGTAATGGCCATGTTGCTGGACTCCCATGTGGCCGACTGCAGTTTGAGTTCCGGACCTGGAGCCTTGAAACTCATGCTGGGGTTGTGTGCATGTGCCCAAAATTCTGAGAGGAAAATAGAGAAGGGATGGTGATGTGGCTATCCCCCTGGGGCATGTTTTCTCACTTCTGTCTCTCTCCATCTCTGTTGAGTGCACATGTCCTATAGCAAAATCTCTAAAAAAAAGGGGGAGGGCTACTTGACTAGTGGCTATTTATATCTATTACTCTTATACTATTTATAACTATACCCACCATATACAAAGGATAGATCAATGCTTTCAATAATAGAAGAGTACTTATATATTTTTTCAGCCTACAAAATATATTTTTTCTTTCTTTTTTAAATTTACTTTTTAGATTTAATCGCTGTGTATCATTACAGTATACGAAGTGAATACACTGTATGTTCTCATAGTGAATACACTATATGTTGGTTCAATAAAAGATATTAGCATACATATTATCAACAGATAATTTCCAATTTTTGTGTCTCTCAAATGGTTTTCTTTCTTTTCCTCCCTCCCTCTCACCCTCTCCCATTTCCTACCCTCCTCCCACACTGTCTCTAGTATCCACAGTTGCTCTCCATGCCTTTATACTAATGGAAGAGTATTTAAAACAACAACAAAATAAGCAAAATGACCTACAAGAAATTTAAAAAAATGAATGGAAAAAACTGCACAGCAATTTTAAACCAGGTTAATTCATCTCTAAATTCAGTTTTTTTAAAAAAGCTAATTTATTCTCTCCATATTCACAGAAATGAAATAATGTACTCTATAGCATAAACCATTTTCTTTTCTTTTTCTTGTTAATAGGACATGTATGCAAGCCAGAGAGAGAGCGAGCGAGAGAGAAATATCTCCTCCTGGGGGGATGGCCACACTGCAATCCATTCTCCTTCATTCTCTTCTCAGGACCTTGGGCACACATGCACACCTGCTCAGTGTGATTTTTAAGCCACTGGGTAGAGACTCAGTGGTGACGTTGGACATGTGGGATCCAGCACCTTAACTTCCATGCCATCTGCTGGCCCAATATAGCATAAACATTTAAAAAACAGAACTAAATATTAACATAAAAAAGATCTTGAGATATTACATGATCGAATGTTACAGTTTTAAAATATATTATTGGTTACTACTTATTCAACTAATTAATTTTTTCTTGTTTTCCTAAATTTAATTCAAACCCAAGAAGTGTCACATATCTACTTAAAAATCTTTGAGAAAAGGCACATGATGCACAGTATATTCAGCAACCGGCACAGTATCAGGCACATGGTAAGGACTCTAAGAATTTGCTCAATAGTACATTGAAAACACACACTTAGAGAAATGGATTAAAGATAATACTGTTTTATTTAACAAGGAATTCTGAACACTTGGTATAAACATTGCACCATGTTAGGTGTTACAGATAAAAATCTATCCAAGTTTTTCTAAATAAAACACAAATAAAACAAGGACCACATAAAAGTAAACATCAATTTATACAATTTTTGAAAAATATTGAGGCATTCACTCATTGCTTAACAAATTGAGTAGGGAAAATTTATTTTACATGAAGCAATTAACATTATAATATAAACAAATAAAATAAGATGGCATTTAAAAACTATCCAAATATGAGGATTGAGTGATTTGAGGAACTAAATATGGAAAGGTGAAAGAGATGAAGTGAAAATAAATATAGAAAGGTAAAAAGTGGTTACAAAGAAATACTTTCCCCTAACCACACAGACTAACAAAGATCTGAAACACAGACATAAAAGGAAGAATAAAAGCCAGATCTTGGTTTCCCTTATCTGGAAATCTTCACCTCTAATTTTGTTCCATGAGGTAGTCTGATATTTGCATCTTTTATAGACTTTTTTAGTTGTGTGCTTTCCGATGTAGACTAAA